AAACTTTACCATTTAGTCACTAACCCATAGGTTGGGATGTTACAACTTTCCCCTCCTTATAAGAAAATTCGTCCTCGAATTTTTACTGCACATCTTAATAAGAACATATCTTCTAATGTTCTTATGTTGCTTCCCTGACTTATTCTTTCTTGTCATCATCAGAAACTTACTTTTCAATCCTTTAGTTTTCCAACTATCTTTTTCGTTTATACATTCATCTTCTATTGCTTATCATATAAACAATAACCAATAACATCAATCCACTTTCTGTTTTTTTTTCTCATTCGATTATGCATTTTTCCTTTGACCTTTCTAAAATCCACATAATGTTACTCATCCTGTAGACATTAACATCAATTCTTATCACTCAAATCAAAAAATCAATTGATTCCTTTCCTCATTTTCTAATTAATTCGCCACAATCCTAACTTTTACTCATTCTTTCATCATTGTCTATATTATGATACACATAATCTCTTCATATAACCTTACATACTTTTCTTACTTCTAATCAAACTTATAATCTGCACATCCTTATAATCCTTTATCATATTTAATCATTTCATTATCAAAATCTTCTTATAACATAACTAAACTATATCTTTTCATAACTTTAATAATCAACTTTACTTGTACAGAACCTCATTCTTATCATCTATTGTACTTGTATTTCCTTCAAACATACAAATCTTTATCTTCTTCACCACAACACCTTACTATGATCAAACTATACAACTGTATCCAAATCCTCTTCATATTTGGTTATCATAACCTGTCAATATATTATAATTCCATTACATTTTCATCACATACTCTTGTTAGCCAATGCTAACTCTTTCCATCTAGAATACAAACTCTTATCATATCCACACTCTTGCTTATACACAATACTATCCCTTGGTTTCGAATTCATAATTCTGATTTCATTCATCTTATAAATGTATCACTGATGCACTTATTCTTAAACTCTTTTACAAACAATAACCGCGTCACTTGATCTTTTAACGTTCCTATGGTGACATTGTGCACCATACTCTAGTTTACCCGCGTAGTAATGAAACTACTCAATTTAACTTCTCCACTTTGGAGAAATGAAAACCGTTTAACATTTTCTTCATATCCTTTAACCAAATGTCTGTAACAACAGAACATTCCTCAAATTCACCTTTGAACTTAGGTGCTCCTAAATCTTTTAACTATCTCAATACATTCATTCTATGAGTTAACAAAATATAACATTATAAACACATCGAAATATCATTCAACATCATAAATCATTCTCTAATCTTATACAGGCATTCCCTGAGATTTTCACTCTTCTCCCTGCCTGGGCAGGGCAGGTGAATGCTATTACCTTCAGGTCTATAGCCTTGTGTTTCACTTTGGAAACTCTCATATTTTCATGTGCTCATATCATTTCTTCTATCACATATCACGTGTGCATATGCTCTTCCAATTCATATTGTATAACATATGCCAATTGCATATGTTCACATATCATCCATCATATCATATAAACATATATATAAATTTCATAAATCATTCTCTGGTATTCACATATCTTATTTAACATAATAATTTAACTCTATTAACAAGACAGTACACTCCTTACCCTATCAGATCAGAAAATTTTCTACTTTATGTCAGCATGTATACTTTTTAAAACAATTTTGACTTCATTTTTAGCCTAGAATCGACTAAACCGTAGCTCTGATACCATTAAATGTAACACCCCCAACCCGTATCCGACCCGGATACGAGTCCGAAGTGTCACATTGACTTTTCAAACATTTATTCGTATAAAATATTGAGTAATTTAAAAACTTTTATAACATTCAACTTATTCAAAACGTTTACAAAACTATTCAGAGTTTATACAATATATTCTTTTGAATACATGCCAACTAGAACTTTATATATTAAAGTACATATTAATCACCTCTTTTCTGATCTGACATTGAGTAAGGAGAACTGACCTGTCTTACTCCACATCTCTCTTTACTCCTCTCCATACCTACGTGTAAATCACTTACACGCTAAGTCGTTGACTTAGTGAGGCATATAAAACATATAATAAAACCACAAACCATTTCATATAACATAATGCATACTTATACATATATCATTAATATACTTATCAGTACTCATATAATTATTACTAATTTCTTTCTATCATGTAAGCATATTGAACCTTTATACTCACCATCGAGTATCCATGTCATTTCACAACAAAATATATAGTATCATAACAAGTTATTATTATCTTTAAAGCCCTGCATTAGCCATGTATACATTTGAGAACTTAAGGTATGTGAGTACATTGAGGTTGTGCACTAATGCTGTCACCACAGCTCGTATCAATTCCCTCATGGGGCACCGAACCTTAGTTTAGTATTCGTCCAGAAGGACCAGTCCATAGATCCCGAAGAACCTAGGTAAACAGTCCATATGTCCCGAAGAACATAGGTAAACAGTCCATATGTCCCGAAGAACATAGGTAAACAGTTCATATGTCCCGAAGAACATAGGTAAACCCTCGACCCTTGGCATGCCAACTATACCACTAGCTCTCTTATCACATAACATAGGCATTAACATTCATAACAATTCAATTTACTTATTCATATCCTTTCTCTTATGAACATACATCTTTTCTTTTCAGTCACGTACCAAATGTACGTGTAATCATTGATCTTATAATCACATGTTCATTCTCTTCGGTCACATACCATATGTATGTGTAAACATATATCTAATCATATAACACGCATCACAAATGCAGTATTCACATAAATCATTTCTCATATCATATTCATACAAGCTCATATCTTATTTCACATATACTTTCCATATAACTTATATATCTCATAATCACACAAATCATAACATTGATCACCAATCAAATAACATTTTAGGAGTTACTTCTTACCATAGTAACTCCATCACTGGCTCATCGCAACCCAAATGTTTATTCAATAATATAAGTACAAATTAAATTGCACTCGCCTTAGCTTTACTTTGATTCGATTATAATCCTTCAATTGATCTGGAACGGGATCACGTTGTATATCTACATCATCATACATAGATCTATATTAGTATTATAACTAATATACTCTAATGGTTCACTCCTTAGACTAAGAAAAATGACAATTTCATCTTTCAATGAAAGTATGCATCGATGCACTACTGATGCATCGGTGCATAAAATGCATTCGATGTTGTATTATTACCGGTATGCATCGATGCACTACTTATGCATCGATGCATGAATTGCATTCGACGTTTTTACTTTAAAAGAGTGCATCGATGCACTACCAATGCATTGATACACCTTCAAACAATTTATGGGTTTTAACCTTGATGCATCGATGCACTATGAATGTGCATCGATGCACTCTGCCCAGAACCTCTTTTTGAACCCGAAAATCATCAACTCTTCACTCAAATGCTTCATATTTCATCCCCTTTCATATTCCTAACTTTCATATACATGTTTAAACTCATTTATAATCAATTATCTCGTCTTTAACCTTAATATCCTCTCCTCTTTATTAACTTCAAGAATCATACCAGATTTTTTACATGTTTTAAATCTAATTCTAACACTCCATATTCCTTAATTAGATTGATGACAAGTCAAATTCCTTCCTAAAATTCACTTACTAACTCTTTTCCAGAATTTCCTTAAGAAACTCATTTTCTTTAATCTTTCATAACTTCTTTATCTTTTGATTTTAGGACAACTTAAGCTTTCCATAAGCTTAAGTATTACCTAATGATCAAAACCCACTCTTAAAATTAACAAATAATCAGCTAACAAGGAATCTTACCTTTGCAAGCTTGGCTCTTCTCTCTCTCATACATGAAGAATAAGAAGAAGAAGATGATGAAGAGAGTATCTCTTCATCCTTATCCCCTCTAACATATATATCCTTATCATATATTTTAATTCATTTATTAGTCAAATGACCATTTTTCCCTCTACTTCATTTGATAATTACTAACAACTTTTAGTATTTATTTCCAGATAAATCATTGAACTAATCCATTCTTCTACTTTAATCACCAAATTTCTGAAACTTTACCATTTAGTCACTAACCCATAGTTTGGGATATTACAAATTTATCGAGCTGTGGTGACAGCATTAGTGCACAACCTCAATGTACTCATGTACCTCTGTTCTCAATAATATACATGGGCAATTGAAAGATAAATTAAAGTGAAAGTGCCACAAGAAGATAAGTTTCATATGTGCATGTCATGATCAAATGGTAAGAATGTATATTCATGAATCTATTGTTACATGTTTATCTATTGCCTCGCTAAGTCTATGACTTAGCGTGTAAGCGATTTACACATAGGTACCAAGAAACAAAAAAGAGCAGTAATAGAAGTGGCAACGACAATATCACTACTAAAAGATCAGATCAAAAGTAATTGACAAAGTAGATATTTTGGTTGTGTATATAGTTTTGGCATGTAATAAGTTATTAATTAAGAATGCTCTGGTCGATTTTGTATTTTTTGGTCTCTTTTATGTAAATTAATGTATTTTGTTTTAATGAAAGTTTAAAATTTCCCTGTTTTTCTTTAAGTGTCAAAGTTTGAAAAGTCAATGTGATACCTCAGACTCATATTTGGGTCGGATATGGGTTAGGGGCGTTACACTGTTGATGTTAATCAGCAGAGCCCATCAAACACTGCTGCTATCAATGAAGAAGGTATCCATACTTCTCAATCATTTGTCCCTAAACGAAGAAGAGATAGACCTATAAAGGACAAAGCTATTTTTACTGGATCAAAAAATAGGTTTGAGGCTCTCAATTCAGTGGATGATAATTCTCCTCCGATTGAGGGCCAGCAGAAGAAATCAAGAAATGCTTCATTGGGAGTAGCAGAAATAGTTAAAGAACTCAAACAGAAAAAAGGACAATTTGGAAAAATCTAAAAGTTCTATGGTTGGGGGTGAAGGATCCTCCTTGGAGACTCTTTCCAAATGATTATTTGTTTCTGGAACATTAGAGGATTTAACAATCCTCTAAAGCAAAATAAAGTGCTTCAAAGGGCAGCACAGAATAAAGTTGATATCTTATGCTTGTTAGAAACTAGAGTCAAACTTGAAAAGTCCAAGGAAATCATTGAAACTAAACTTGACAACTGGAATGTCATTTCCAATTATGAGTTTGCTATTAATGGAAGAATTTCGGTGCTTTGGAAGAAATGTTTAGACATCATTACTCTATTCATATCTGATCAAATTATTACTGTTAAAGGAAAATTTCTTGGAAATCCGGTTGTTATTTCTGCAGTTTATGGGGAAAATGATGGTATTAATTGAAGACATCTTTGGCACCATACGAAAGACTTGGACAGTAAGATAGGTAATCTTCCCTGGATCCTCGGTAGAGATTTTAACACTACTCTTCTTCCGAATGAAAGCTCTGATTATGAGCTCCTATGTTCAGCCTCGACTCCTGAAATGAAAGAATTTCAGGATTTAACCCAGGATCTTGATCTCCATGAACATTCTTTTATTTGCCCTCTTTTAACATGGAGCAACAAACAATCAGGATCTTACCTTGCAAGGAAACTTGACAGGGTTGTTATTAATCCTATTTGGGTTCTCTCATTATACAACTCTCATATCGAATTCGTTGCCCCTGGTGTTCCAGACCATTGTATGGCTTTAACTTGGCTTTCAAAAGAAACCCACATTAATCGTCCAAAGCCCTTCAAATTCTTCAATTTTTGGACACGACATTCTAGATTTTTTAGAATAGTTGAACAGTCTTGGCAAACTCCTTTCCACGGGAACCCTATGATGATATTGTTTCTTAAACTTAAGCATCTCAAGAATCTTAACAAGTCTTGCTATAGTGACATCTCTTCTCGGTTTTTTCAAAAGAGGCTTGAACTCGAACAACAACAAATTCTCTCTTTAAAAGGTGAAGACTCTTTTGAAAAAGAGCAGCAAATTCAAAATGAATTGTTTATCCTTGAAGAAGCTGAATTATTATTTCTAAAGCAAAAAACCAAACAACAATGGATCAAGTATGGAGACAAATACTTCAAAATTTTTCATTCTGCCGCAGCAGTCAAGAACAAAAAAGAGACTATCCGATTGCTTGTTGATGACCAAGGAAATAGACTTGATTCCTTTGATACAATGGCTGCTGAAGTGATTCAATTCTTCACCAATCTGATTAGAACGACTGATCCTAGGGTCAAAGACATTGACCAGAATCTCTTGAAAGAAATCCTTAATTATTCTCTGCCAGGAGAATTTGTCTCAATGCTTGTTCAAGATGTCACTACCGAATAGATCAAGGAAGTTATCTTTGGTCAAGGCAATGACAAAGCGCCTGGACCAAATGGATACACTCTATATTTCTTCAAATATTCCTGGTCCATTGTTGGAAATGAAGTTATTACTGCAATTCACTACTTTTTCCAGCATTCTAATATGCTTTTCAGCTTTTAATACAACCACAATCGTTTTGATTCCCAAAATTCCCAACCCTTGCAAAGTCAAAGACTTCAAACCAATTTCATGTTGTTCAGACATCTATAAGGCGATTACAAAGATTTTAGTAAAAAGAATGTCAAGTCTCATGCCAGGAATGATCTCTCTCAATCAATCGGCTTTTATTAAGGGCATGAGCATCGTTGATAATATACTCCTTGCTCAAGAAGTGGTTAAGGGGTACGGAAGGAAAAACATATCTCCAAGATGCACAATGAAAATCGACCTTCAAAAAACATTTGACACCCTTCATTGGAACTTCATTATTTCAGTTTTGAAAGCACTTGATATTCCTCAAAGATTCATAGGCTGGATTCAAGCTTGCTTCACCGAAGCTCGATTCTCAATTTCTTTCAATGGGAGCTTAGTAGGTTTCTTTAAGGGAGCGAGAACCATAAGGCAAGATGATCCTCTTTCACCTTTCCTCTTTGTTTTATCTCTGAATATGCTATCCAGACTTCTTAATTTAGCAGCTGCTCGAAGACTTTATAATTATCATCCTAAATGCAAGCAACTTGGCCTCACCCATTTATCATTTGCCGATGATTTACTAATTTTTTGTAAAGGAAATGCTGAGTCTGTTGCATGTGTTATCTCGGTGCTTGATAAATATTATGAAATTTCATGGCTGAATTTGAACGCTGCAAAATGTGTTTTCTTTACTGCCAGTGTTGAGAACCGAACTGTTGAGAAGATTAAGCAGTTTACTAGTTTCAACATTGGATGCTTGCCAGTTCGATACCTTGTTATTCCTATAATTACTAGAAAGCTTTCCATAAAAGATTACGATCAGCTGATTGATAATATTAAATCCAAACTTAATCTGTGGTCTGGGAAAATGATGAGCTTTGCTGGTCGTCTGGAGCTAATTCGAGCAGTCTTATTCTGTGTTTCCAATTTTTGGTGCAGGAGTCTCTTGCTCCCACAAGCTGTTATCAATAAAATCGACCAACTCCACTCACGATTCTTCTGGAAAGGAAGCGACAAGGCTGCTACAGGCGCGCGAGTTAGTTGGGAAAAGATTTGTCAACTTAAATCCGAGGGAGGTCTAGGATTGAAGAACTTGAAATCTTGGAATAAAGCTTGCATAATCAAACTTATCAAAAACATCCTAGCAGGTGAGGGATCGTTATGGGTTTCCTGGATCAAAACTAACATATTAAAGGAGAAGAACTTCTGGCACATCGAAGGAAGTCCCAATTTCAGTTGGAGTTTTAATAGAATTCTCAAGCTTTGGCCCGAAGCTCTTCTTGTTATCACAAATCGCACTCTCACCATCAAACATATTTGGATGGAAATTAGAATGAATGGAGACAAAGTAAAATGGCAATCCTTGATTTGGTACCCTTATCATATTCTGAAACTCAGTATTATAACATGGATGGCTATTCTTGATCGACTCCCTACCCGAGATCGACTTTTGCGAATAGGGATTACCACCTTGGGGGATTGTGTGCTTTGCAACGAAATGATGGAAAATATGTCTCACCTATTCTTTGAATGTCCAATGGCTGCTAATTTATGGGATTCAATATTGCTTCATAATGGGTTAAAGAAACCAATCTCAACTTGGGAAGACATGATCACATGGGAAAGCAATACCTAGAAATGCAATTATCTTATCTCAACCATTTTAAAGATTTCTTGGTGTGCCAAAATCTATGTACTATGGGAGGAACGTAATAGATGAATTTTCCGAGGATGTATAAGGACTGCCGAAGAACTTTTTGCTTACATCAAAAATTATGTTTCTATCAAACTGAGGGGGGTAAATATTAATATGTCTGATAGTATCAATAATTTCCTATGTAATTCTTGGGGTATTGATTAACCGATCTTTTGTCTTGTAAATATGGTGTACATATGATTTTTGTGATCGATTATTTTTTTGTAGCAGTTCTTGATTCGTTGGGTAATAAAATTGAATTATCCAAAATAATAATAATCTTAAACAATTAAATTTTAGAGAAAATAACCTCAGTGACCAAAAATGCCTTATAATATACGATTTTAACCAATTTTTTTTGGATTTGCCAAAATGACCAACTAAATCGCAATGCGATCGATAATTCGCAACGCGATCTCCGGTATCGCAAATCAGTTTCCAGATTCGCAACGCGAACTTCGACTATCGCATTGCGATTTACATATTCGCATTGCGATAGTCCAAGTTCGCGTTGCGATTTATTCCAAGTTCGTTGCGATAGTCGAAGTTCGCGTTGCGATTTATTCCAAGTTCGTTGCGATAGTCGAAGTTCGCGTTGCGATTTATTCCAAATTCGTTGCGATTTATTCTAAGTTCGCGTTGCGATTTATTCCAAATTCGTTGCGATAGTCGAAGTTTGCGTTGCGATTTATTCCAAGTTCGTTGCGATAGTCCAAAATTGCAATGACGGTATTGCATTTATTTCTTAAGAATTTTCTCTAAAAAGATAGTATTCGCGCGGACGTGTAGAAGACACGTATTACCACGACCACGACCACGACCCGACCCGACCCGAGACGAGACGGACGGCTGCGGCGGCGGCGCGCGAGAGTCCCCCTTGTTCTCTATCACTCAACAAGGAAGTGGGAAAGCCAAGCCTTAAATACCATTCCCAATAGTGTTTCCAATACTATGTGAGATTGAACATTACCAACACTTGTTCCCAATACTATGTGGGATTGAGCCTTAAATAGTGATATTAATTTTGAATGTTTTACTTAAAATTGCAATAATCGCGATTGATTGTAGATTGACATTTAATTATGACATATTTAATCGTATAATACTAATGCAATTGGTTGCTGATTCAGTTGTTTTAAGGTGCATGATTGTTAATCATTTCCTGAATATCACATTGTATTGGAACAGTGTTGGTAATGCTCAATCCCACATAGTATTGGAAACACTATTGGGAATGGTATTTAAGGCTTGGCTTTCCCATTTCTTTGTTGAGTGATAGAGAACAAGGGGGACTCTCGCGCGCTGCCGTCGCCGCCGTTCGTCTCGTCTCGTCTCGGGTCGTGGTCGTGGTCGTGGTCGTGGTAATACGTGTCTTCGACACGTCCGCGAATACGATCTTTTTAGAGAAAATTCTTAAGAAACAAATGCAATACAACCAGTCGTTGCGATTTTGGACTATCGCAATGCGAATATGTAAATCGCAATGCGATAGTCCAAGTTCGCATTGCGATAGTCGACTATCGCATTGCGATTTACATATTCGCATTGCGATAGTCGACTATCGCATTGCGATTTACATATTCGCATTGCGATAGTCCAAGTTCGCATTGCGATAGTCCAAGTTCGCATTGCGATAGTCGAAGTTCGCGTTGCGAATGGAAACTGATTTGCGATACCGGAGATCGCGTTGCGAATTCGATCGCATTGCGATTTAGTTGGTCATTTTGGAAAATCCAAAAAAAAGTGGTTAAAATCGTATATTATAAGACATTTTTTGTCAATGAGGTTATTTTCTTAAATTTTAAACTAAAAATCACTTAATCTGGAAACTGATTTGCGATACCGGAGATCGCGTTGCGAATTATCGATCGCATTGCGATTTAGTTGGTCATTTTGGAAAATCCAAAAAAAAGTTGGTTAAAATCGTATATTATAAGACATTTTTTGTCAATGAGGTTATTTTCTCTAAATTTTAAACTAAAAATCACTTTTAAAAGTTTTTTATCACATTTTTAAAATTCACTTTTAAAAAGTAATATTCAAACTGAGATATATATATATATATATAAAGTGGGGTTTCTAGAAAAACATTTTAAATGTAGTCCGTTTTGAAGAGTGTTTTAGATTACCTGTATGTGTGGCACTGATGTAATTAGTGAAAATAAATGAAAATAAATGAGAAAAGGACTTGGTAGGATATAATAGTTCCAATTGAAAATGATTTTGAAAACCAAATACTTCTCTGTAGTCTCTCTATCAAGTAAAGGAAATTTCGGACCTATTTTATTCTAAAATCGATAATTTCAATTTTTATCAATACTCTAATGTCAACTGATAATAGATCATATAATATCAAAATAGTTTTAATACCATTAATTCTCACGTCCTAATAATTTTATGATAAAACTATAATAAAAATGATTAAAATATAATTTTAAAAAATTAAGTGTTTAAAATAGATTAAAAAAAGTGAAATGAAGCTTCTCCACTATGCAAATGCAACGGTCTCCTTTGACAACCTATCCATTTCATGAGTGTTGTCAAACCTTTTTTTTTGCTTAAAATTGAAGTTTCAAGAAGTGTCCCAACCCAACATTTAGATCACAAAAACCATTTATATTATATAAAAATAAAGATTGGATATTAAATGTCTGCCGACGTTAACCCCACGCCGTTTATATTTGTGGCATCCAAAAGTTTTTGACATTTTCATATATATATATATATATTCAGAAATCATTAATTAAGGACTGGAATCAATTTATTTGATTTTTGGGATTAAAAAAAGAGATGGTGAGACTGAGACATCAATAAGATTGTATAAAACAAAACATAGTTAAGTAGGTTTAATTACGCGTCCCATTGTTGTCTATGAGAGATTCTATCAAAATTTATGGCATTTTGGACTTTGGCTTGCGTTCTAAATTTTAAACCATCTATGGAACAACGAATATGAGACATTTTTATCGATAGATGTTAATAATTAAAAAAAATTTAACAACGTTTGATGTTTGTTTGTGTCGGTGAAATGCAGTACTGCTGTCTTAAAAAAATAGAGACAAGATGGAAACAGAGCCATCACATATACCTATTTATTTACTTTGCTTGAAATAATGAAAAAAGAGAAAAATACTACAAGTGTTTCTTACTACTTCCGTGAATCTAATTGTACACTTCATTTTAAGGTAAATTCTTCAATTTCATTTAATGATCATAAGACAAACCAAAATTTTGGAATATAAAAAATCATTTTGTTTTCCTAAAAATATATGTTCTTATTAATTTCTGCAAGTCTTGTTACTTTCTAATTTGTATATAGTTCGGCGTGCGTTCCAGGAAGAAGGAAAATATCTATGTTTATACAGAGATAAATTTTGGACCAACTGTAATGGGCCCCTTAAAACCTTTGTTAATATAACTGGACCATTGACCATAGATTCAAAGCCCAGCGATAGCCTCTATCCAAAATCCAATTATATAATGAAGACTCCTTTTCCTTTAAAGAAGTGCCAACGAGAGTAACCTTGAAGTTTGCTTTTTGTAATAATATTTACAGCCGATACATAAATTGAATAAAATAGTATTGTTTGTCGATAAAAAAAATAATAATAAACAAATAAAATCATCAGACTTCTTACCACCACCAAGTGTTTTTTACATCACATGTAAAATATCTATGCAAATATTTGCTGGATAACTGTCTCAGCATTTCCATTGTATTGTGCCAGGAGATGGATTGCATCAGCCCTTGGCAATGCCAGAAATTCCTGCGTCACATTCACATAATATCACACCATTATACTTATTGTCTAAACATCTAACTGTAAATGAAAGTAAATTAGAGGAGCTAACTCTTCACCTAGCTTTGACAACAACAGGACATCATGAGTTGAGCTTGTAACATAATAAAACAAATGCTTTTATCATTTTGGTTAAAATATGGTCCATATACCTGCACTCTTCTTATATTTAGAATCTAGTCCTTTTAATTTTAGGAATTTGATCCCTCTACATTTTGGATTTAAAAGTTCAAGTCAATTTGTTAAACCAGTTACAAATTTTATGGTAAATTCTTTTTTTTTTTTGGATGAATGAAAAATATATTCATCCAAAGAAAACTCGACCGTACAGCCACCAAAAAGAAACCAAACCCATATAATAATCCTAAGAAACAAACAATCCTACCACAAAAAAATCAAACAATTTTTATGGTAAATTCAAGTCCATTACAATGTTAGTTTTTTTTTATATGACTATGGAGTTGCTATTTTTCTTTATTCCAAAATGTCACATCAACGAATTTAGCAAGAGAATTTTAACTATGTTAAAACTAGACGTGAATTTTTAAATCTGAAAAGTAGAGGGACTAAATTCCAAAAAATAAAAGTAGGTGGATTAAATCAAATGTACGAAGAGTACAGGGGCTTGAAGCATACTTTTAACTATGATGTTTTATAAGTTAAATGCTTTACTCACCTGAACATGCATGTTAAATTTCAAGCAAATGAAATAATATTAACTACATGGTTATATGAACAATGCGTTCTCGTCACAAATAACATCTCTTGATGATGCTTGATTGGGACTGCTGCCATCGTCTGATACATGGGTGGCTGAAGAGACGGTAGCTTGTGAGGACCCAAGGGTGCAACTTTCAGCATTTGATTTTGAAGCAGTCAAGGAAGTTAACACAGGAGTGTTATTTTCCTTCAAAGAATCAATTCTCAGAAGACTCTCAAACCGATCTTTACACATCTGAAGTTTGAACCATTCAGTGTGTGTGTGAAGTGTTGCTCTCATTATCCTCATCAGCTGAGGCTCCTCAATACCAAGCCTCTTCCCAAAAGCAACCTAACCAAGATAGAAAATCGTATACTTAAGTTGAAAAAATACAAAACACGAAACTATCTGTATATAAATTGAGAGAGTTGCAAAACTTA